GGACTTGTTCCATATACATTACATTTTTCCTTTTGTTTTTAATGGATGTTGTAGTGATCTGTGGATAATATCTGTGCTGTTATGGATAGGCTTGCCAAGGTTTGTGAACATTGGGATGTTTATAATGGTTAAATTTGATAGTTTATGGTGGATTCACAAAGGGAAAAGATACATTCATGATTTCTGTTCATGTTTCATAAACATAAAGAGAAGCTTGGAAAGGAGCAGGTGTGTGATCGTCATTTGTCAGAAGTAGTGGTTGATCAGATTATAAAACTTTTTTGTATCTGCTACATCAGGTTTCAGTAGTATGCAAATAAGTTAATTTTAACTATGTGTATGAATCAATGGTTGTAAAAGGTAAATAATAATATTGTGTCAGTGCTTTGTTCTAATAAGTCTAATGAACTGTGTTGAAATTAAATAATCAGACAATGGTTTAATTTCAACACCGTTCATTGGACTTATTACTAATATACATATTCCAAACTTAGTATCCCTTTTCAAAGACTGGCACTTGCCAGGGCTTAAATGCCATGTAAACAGTTCAAACTCCTATGTATTTCAAGATAATGAATTGAACAGTTTTCATTTTATATACATTTGTTATGTATCATTACTCATTTTGCTGAGCTCCTTCTTCCAGCCATTGTAATTTTTGTTAGAAATTTATTAATTACATTCGTAGGTGTGTATAAATTGTAAACCAAAGCTACTTTGCATTTTTACATTTTTAGGGTCCTTCTCAAAGAAAGTCAAGATGCTCATCATTATCTAACGTAAGTTAGTACTTGTTTCTTTGTACTGTAAAACAGTGGTTCCCATCTTTTTCCAACTGAGGATCAGCTAGTCCTCATCCCCAAATTTCATGCATCTTTTCCTACAATATTAACTTCATTAAAGTACTTTTAAGTTACCTTGTAAAACGGTATATTTCAGTAGCTGTATTTTAAAACACATTTGTTTTTACAACTGTCTTGTGGATCTGTTGAAATCTCTCTGGGAACCACTGCAGAATATAAACATTATTGCTTACTTACTTTTCATCAAATGTAAATGAACAGTGTATGAGAAAGCCATTTAGTGTGTCTCACTGACATATTTATTTATTTATATTATACATACATGATGCTACCACTCAAGTGTCACATTAAAGGGCTTGTAATATTAGTGTACACTGTTAGCATTCAGAAGTAGTCTTTGAAAGGAAGCATATGTACAATAAGGATGCAAAAAATATATTTAGTTAAGAATTTGCAATTTTTGTTTTCTAACATGGTATCTCCTATTTTTTATTGAAAGTTATGGAGTTGTTTACATGGTTCTATTTTATTTTGACTCACAGAAATAGGCCAAGAAAGTCAACGACCATTTGTAGAAAAATTGGAGTTTTATCTAGCACTAGTGTTTCACCTTCGAGTGTTGGAAAACAAACTGGTGCAACATCATTATGTCCCAGCAGCTCACCTCCACTGGATGGTCATGAACAGAATTTTAATACTACAAAATTGGACTTGTCTGAGCAAACCATTTCAAACTCTGTGGATAGTGGAACAGAAAGTGAAATAGTTTCAGCCATCAGAAATACAGTGCCTGAAGTAAAGATTAAGTTATTGGATTTTTCTGAGCTTCCTTACCCTGTACAACATGAACTTAAAGCTACAGCTACCTCAAAAGATATCATTCCCACATGTGCAACTACCTCAGTGAAAGCAGAAGTTGAGGTTAGGTGTTCTGGGTCCTTTAGTGCCAAATCATCTGAGCTATCCTCTATTAAACCTGTATCTTTAGGAGAACCAATTTCTTTATCAGTGAACAAAAAGGAGTCAGAAAATATTATACCTGATGCTTTATTAACCAGTCCACTTTCAGATAAGAGTATATCAAGTGCTTTTATAGCAAAACCTCTTCCTTGTAGCACTGAACCAGAAGTTACTGAACAATATAAGACTCAAACTGTTATAGCTGAACCTTCTTTCATGAAAATTGAAAGTGTTGATCTTAAACCCTTAAATGATTCATTGTTAAAGCCAGAAAATATTGTTGTAGAAAAAGTACAAGAACAAGTTCTAAGTGGAAGTGAAAAATGCAAAGCTCCTTTTTCAACTTCTTCAGTTTCAGGGAAGACTTTATCTCAGGTCTCGTTGCCATCAAAAAATATCTTGTCCCTGGTAACTTCTTCAGAAACCACTGCCAAACCTGTTTCTCATGGTTCTCTAGCTTCTGATATGTTAGATCGTATAATTTGTGCCAGTTTGGGAAACTTTCCAAATTGTGGATCATCTGTTTCAGAAACTTCAGGATTGGTCCATCTAGTTAAGAATGAGTCCCATTCTTCTGGAAAGGTCCTGAATACATCAGTGATCCAAAATCAAGGGAAAAACGTAATTACAAGACCTTTATCACAGCCAACAGAGGTTCAACAGTGTGCTCAGTTGTCACAGAAGTCTGCACTTGGCAACACTAGCATAAGCATCTTGAAATCTTCAGTTAAAGCTGCACTCCATCGTAGAGAACCTTCTCAGGAAGCTAAGCTTATTTCCATTGGATCAGAGCAGCAGAAAGTTGCAACACCTGCTTCTGTTCTTTGTAATTCTAATTTACAACAAAATGCCTCATCTGTGCCCTCACCCTCTGGTGTTAATGTAGTAAGTAATTCTGAATTTAGTACTGTTCCACCTATTATGCCATATCATCCTTATGGGTTTTTAGAGGCCTTTAAAAAATCCTTAGAAGGTAGGAATGTGAGACAAGATAATAATGTTACTTTATCATCTTCAAAGTCCCCAGAAAATGTTAAAAAAGAAACAACACCCAGGACGTCACGTTTGAGTATTTCTGGTGTTAGAAATAAGTCCACCCATTGCTTTAACAGCACACAGGGTGCTTCTCAAGCTCTACATCAGCCATCTGTTACCCAGTTTACCTCGCAAGATCTCATGTATCAATTAATTGACAGTGCTATCCAAGAAAGTTCTTTAAATGATAAGAAACCTAACCGAACATCAACAGGACTCCTTGAATCTCAAGTGCAGCACCAGCATTCCTCTTCAGAACATCCTTTGTCAACAGGACTCAATTTAGAAGGCATGAAAGGGTTTCCTATCCCAAGACAGCATCCAAGTTCTGGTCAGTCACAGATCTTGTCCAAGCCTGCCTCTGGTTCTTATTCGTTACATCATGCAGCTTTAGCACAATCACGTGACCCAGGTTTTATAAGCCCTGCTCCCTCAAAGTCTCCGTCTCCTCAACGGGTGAAACCAGTACACAGCCCCAGTCCCAAAACTACAGTGCCACTGCCAACCATGAACAATCCTTTTCCACCAAAAGCTTCACATTTCACTCAAGCTGAACCTTCTGCATCTTGGAATACAGTAAGTTAGCATTCTGCACTGATGTTTAAAATATTCTTTTGTCTTAAACTTTTAAAATGATTTTTGTAATTAGATTCTTGAAGACAGAGTAACTGATTTCTAGAATATAAATAAACTTATTCAACTTAAATTCAAACATAATGCTTACCGTGTATGAACTGGTGGTCTTAATGTATTTACCCAACAGAATATGACAAGTGACCTCCAAAAATATAACGTCAGGATTCTAATATAGTAAACTATACAAATAATATGTTTTAAATTAATGGTATGTGTGTAACTTACCTTTAATTAAGATTTAAATAAGGCTGAGATTTTTCTGTCGTGATAAACATTGAAGATAATTTACTATGAGCTTTTAGTTTTAAATAAGCAAAATTATGTTATCCAGAGGTGGATTTGGAATGAGCACAAAGATACCAATAACTGTAGACATAAAGTCACTACACTGAAATCATATATAATGTAGCATGTGGTGCTACACAGGTTTTACAGGGCATAAATGTTCTAATGTAAAAACAAAAACACTCTCTGTGTCTTGTTATATTGTAAAGCTTACAAAGAGACCTGGAATGATCTCACAAAAAATCTATACACATTCGAGAGCATTAGTAAATATGTTTGTTTGATATTTTTTGACACACACACATTTATGTTATCACCTTTCCTACATCTGTACAGTTTAATAAACCATCTTCCTTGGCACAAGCATCGAACAAGTGTGTAAATTATTAAACATAAATAACCATGGAGACACAGATGTATTTGTGGTATGCAGGTGCCATATACCTGCACCCTCCTACAGTATGTATTAAATATAGTGCAAAGAAGTTTATTAATGTTTTTTAGAGTTCAAATTTAGAACTTACAAAATCCAGCCTTAGCCATATGCTAATTCAGCCTTATGCGTTACCCTAAGTTTTTCATGAAACAATTGTATGATACCTAGTACCGTAACCTTGCATGTAAAGTTGCTTTACAACACTCGCATGAGGTAGAGTTGCATCTGGATTCTAGTATTCCACTTTTGGAATAGATTTATTATATAAAGAGCTAGATTGTGAGAACCTATTTTAGTACTTACAGACAGATCTTATTTCAACTGTGAAGGAGCCAGTTTCTGCCATCAGCCATTGTTCCAGCCATTCTTTTGTTTCTTATTGCTTTTCCTAATAAAGGTTTTTGTTTCTTTTCATCTTCACATTGAATCTTGCATGTTTCATTGAACTAATCACTACAGCTGTCCTTTCACATTAGATCTAGAAGCCACTCTTTGTTGTATTTATCAAGCAGTAGTATGTTGTATCTATTCTCAATCTTGGATGCCACATACTTAATATACAAATCATGTGTTGAACTTCAAAATATAACCTTAAAAAGTGAGTAATAAATATTCCAGCTTTGTATTTTATACTGACATTCACCATTCTAATGTAAAAAAAAAGTTACAATGATGACATAAGTACTATTGAACTATTAATTTCTTTTAAACAGTTCACTTTTACCTATGTGGAGTACAATTAACAAAGAGTTGGAGTTTCCTAACCTACTAGAATAGTGCACTAATTATACAAGGTGACTTCATAATGTTCACTTTACCTAAATCATTTTATGTGCAGGAGTAAATTTGGTTTAGTGTTTCTACTAACTAAGCATAAATGGATGACTGATGTTAATCACTATTTCCTGTATATTACATTATAATGCATTTGTGAGCTGTTTGAAGTATGTTGTCTGAATTTATTATATATGGAAGTGCTTGAAACCATGTGAATATATATGCTTAGCTTTATTAGTTATTAGGTGGCATAAGTTTGACTAGAGTGACGTGTAAATAATTGAGACAATGTGAATATATGCTTAGCTTTATTAGTTATTAGGTGGCATAAGTTTGACTAGAGTGACGTGTAAATAATTGAGACAATGTGAATATATGCTTAGCTTTATTAGTTATTAGGTGGCATAAGTTTGACTAGAGTGACGTGTAAATGATTGAGGCAATAGGAATACTTTCTTCAGTTTATTAGTTTTTAGTTGGCAAAAGTTTGACTAACCCAAGGTGCTGGATAATATGAGTGAAGTAAATAAAAAATTCAGCAAAGAAGCATTCTTAATAATACTACCTAAGCATTTGATGTACACACAGTTACTGTTTATATCATTTGGTTCTAAGGCTTAAAATTTCTAAAATTAAGATATCAGATTGTATGTAAGTTGAGAATTTCATTTAAGAACAAGTGTTTTCTTCAGTATGAATGATCTGTTCTTGTGTAAAAGTTAAAATCAAATTAATAAAGTGAAATAATTCCGGAATTTCTCATAAAATTGTCAAAGAACACAACTGTTTATACAGGTGAAAATGAAAAAAAAAAAACTGGAACAATTATACCTAAATCATAATAGTTGGCAGGTCTGTTTTGGTTTTTGTAACTTAGAGTGCTTGATGAACTATAGAAAAAGGCTCATTGATAGTAGCCTACAACAGAATATAGTGTAATTGTTAGTATGTATTTTTCTTATTGAACTACCGTATTGAGTCGGATTGTGGTGAAATGGTGAAAACTTACTATGTTTTTATTGTAATATTTCATTACTATTCCTGTCCTACAATAAGTTCTTGATATTAAAATATTTCATGATTTATATTTATACAGCTCAGAACATACTTGATTATTTCCCTTTATGTATTTTAAGCAACGACAAAACCATTGGAGAGGAACACCTTCTCCAACATCTAGTTACTCAACTCAACAACAGTACCAGAATTTGCCAGCCAGTCCAGTATCATCACCTTCAATGGTTTATTCTGGGGTGACATCCCCCATGGGTCACCAACAACATTCATTCTCGCCTCCAGTGAACATTCCTCCTCCTGCTCATAGATATAGCCCTTCACCCAAGCAAGTCATAGCTCATCATACATCCAGTCAGCCTCTTAAGCCTGTAGGTTCTCCATCTCCATTTCCTCCAAATCAGAGTAGTTCACCTAGCCCGGCACATCAACTAGTTAACGTCCAACAGCATTATCATACTCCTCAGAGCCCCATTTCCTACAACCAAGATTATGCATCTGGAGCCATAGTTGGACAACAGATAGGTGGAATTCATATGAGACAAGGTAGGTAACATGAAACACTGTCAAATTTTTGACTAAAGTTGTGCTCTTATAATCCCCCTTAGAGATTAAAAATAGTCAGTTCCCTTTGTATTGCTTTAGCAAATTCATTTTGACCAGGTTGGATTTTTTTATCACTGTTTGTTTACTAAGAATACAAAAATTATCATCACTTATAACAAAGGGTACACTGTTTGTCTAACTCTTCTTGTGATGCAGTGTATGACAGTAATTTGAGTAGTCAGATTTTCTTTTTTGGGAATATGGTTGGTCTGTTTTGAATAGCAAGATGGTTCTTCTTTCTGTATGGTTAAAGGTCTTAAAAAGAACTTGCCTTTATTTGTCTTAATAGAGAACCTGCTTTTACCTTTCTTAATAAAGAACCTGCTTTTACCTTTCTTAATAAAGAACCTGCCTTTACCTTTCTTAATAAAGAATCTGCCTTTACTTATCTTAATAAAGAATCTGCCTTTACTTATCTTAATAAAGAACTTAAGGATTTTACTTCTCTACTAAAGTCTTGAAACTCACACTTGACTGCCATCTGTTGTAGTCTTATGAAATTGATAAAGTGTTTCACTGGATTCTTAATGAGTTATGGAAATTTATATACTTCAAACTACATTCTTCCTCTTTCTCTGATATCACCTGCAGTGCATGTGGTCAGGGTGAACTGTTTCATTGAACATGATAATTAAAATACAAGACAGCTATAAATAAAAATAGTAGCAAAGAAATTCCAAAAAATGTATGATATAGGAATATTAGTATACATCATGTAAATGTGTTACTTTATAATTCATATTAAGAAAAGTATAACATATATTTATTTCAAATGTTACTTGGGCTTATAATCTGTGTTTACAATTTTTCGTAGTTTTGTAAACAAAATGTTTTTCTATTAATAATGGTGGTCCAATTTTTCCAGGATCTGGTCAGAATACATCACAGTAACCATACCATTGACTCCAGTATCCACCATTCTATTGTACATGCCAAGACTACACAAATGTAAAAGTTCTATTTATCTATTTCATTTTGTATAAGAATCTCAAGACATATTCAGCTGCCTCTTGTTAGCAACTTTCAATTGTGTGAATCGTCTAAATATATTTTAGAGAACTTTCTGTTAACAGTTTTTATTGCTTCTGTGGATTTTCCAAGAAGACAGCTAAAGCAAAAAGGAAATCAATAAAATATGGACATAACTGTGGAAATGCAATTTGCAGGACTAAGAATGTAAATATTATAATTTTATATCTCTTGTTTAATGATTTATCAGTACAGTGGTGTGTGGTCATGTGTTCATAAAACATCATGAAGCCAAAATATTGTAAGATTTTTTTCCTCTCAAAATAGTGTTGGAAATGTGAATTTGATATCATTCAGTATGATTACTATACTATTATTTCCATGTCACACATTTTTCTGTGTTTATTATTTTGTAAGTGACACATCATCAGATCTTAATGGAGTAATTGTTCTCAACTGTTTTCCATGAGAAAAAAAGATACATTTTATACAGTTCACAATATTTCTATGCAAACTTCAGATATTTTATTGCATTGATTTGGAAATTTTATCAGTAACTTATTGGATTCTGTGGTATGATAATTTTTGCAAAATTTAGTGCAGGCTTAGAACTTTCATTTAAAATCTAATTTCTAAATAAGAGAATGTGAGAAGAAACATAACAACAAAAGCCCTATATTTCCTTTTAGTTTTCAAACCCAGAAGTTTGGTGAAGAGAACAATATTGTGTAATATAGAAGTGAAAGAGTGCTACATCATATTATATGGATTGGGGGGGGGTGAACATGTGTAAATGTTTCTGTATCTCTTGTAGTGTTACAAATTTTTAATTTACTGAATAGATAGGTTTAATCTTTTTTTTTCCTTAAAGAATTGGTTATGATGTATATGAGAGTAGAAATACAGATACATTCTACTGAAGTATATTTATTATTTTATATCAGCTTTATATAAAGTAAGGCTAAATAATGAAGAACCTTACATAATATAGTTCTTGTTTGTTCCACAGAACAGTGGTTTTGAGAAACCTTTGTTCTACATCTTTTCTGAACACATCGTGTTCTAATTATGTTTTAAGAAACGTAATGAGGAATCGTTTATTAAACAGTTTTCACTGAAAAACTCTGCCCAAGTAATGAATTCTGTCTGCATCTTTTATATGAGATTTTACTGCATAATTAATGCAAATAATTTCATTTAGCAAGGTAGTTTTAAACAGTATGATAATTTGTTTTGTTTTTTACCAATTAAGAAATACTTCTGCCATTATAGAATTAAAACCCCAAATTTTAAATTTAAGCTTTTCAATTTATACAACATCAGATTTTAGGTTAAATGAATAATTTTATATAATGTGTTAGCATGCTAAAATTTAGTATGAACTTTCTGGTCTACTTTAGTTTTATTAGATCTATTTTTGTAAAGCTGAGCTTAATGAGGTTAGTATGTATATAAGTGCCTTAACTGTCAAAACACTTGAGGTAGTAGGCTACAGTTTAGGCAGGTGGACATAGTTGTGTGAAGTATTGATGTTAGTTTACCAATTCAAGATGAAATACAACCCTTTATAACTTGAATTTATAGGTTCATCATATTATTTCACTCAGCTGTGATATTGAAATTTATTTACATACTTTTTTGCATAATTTATAAACATTAAAAATACTGATTTGACTCTTACCATTAAGTTTTATAACAAGCTGTTTAATCGATCCTCTCCATACAACATCCACTTACCTCATGTCATCATAATTGTTTTTTACTTCTATACAAACACATGACAAGAATCATCTGAGTGACTTGATGTTTTCTTACTATCTCTTGAAGAGGATGGGTTACTCAAACTTCACAGGCACGTTTATCTATAACAGTAAACTAAGATCTTTTGATGCAGAGTAGTGTAGATTTGAATGAACTATTCAGTAATGTACATATTATCTAACATTATGCCTTTATGTTGTTTTCAAGTTAATAACTTAATTAAACAGACATGATTCCTTCTGTGATGTGGATGCCAATATTACCAAGAGATGATGTAAAAGATCTTCCAAACTCTCCTGATATTATACATATAAAAAAGGAGCTTCTGGCACACCTCACCATAGATATTAATGAACGTAAAACTAGTATCCACTTTTTTGATATTGGCTGTAGTTTATTCTGAGAATCTTTTTGGCATTAGGTATGATAAAAAAAAAGTTCATAAGAGGGGAGGAGATCCCCTCTTTTTTGTTAAGTAGAGAAGTAAGAAGTAGGAAACTTCTAATCATCATCATATCACTTGTAGCAGATGTAAGTTTGTGAATAAGAACAAGTAACATGAACTTTTTATCAAAAATGGAAGTAAGTTCACAAAATATTAATGATTTCACTATCTGAAGTTAAAAGGCATTGCAGTGAAGTTTAAAGAAAATGAAAATAATGTTTAGTTGATTTTCTGTTGGCGTGTTATTGATTAGGATCGAAGATTATTATAAGCACTAAAGTTGAAAGGCTTTTAAAAGTTTTGCTGTTTGTATTAAAATGAGTGTAAACTATGAATTTGTAAGACTGTTTTTTGAACTAAAACCTAATTTTTCACTTATGTTTTATAGAAATGTTGAGCAAAAGCTGTTTTAATGTTTCTTACATACAAATCTCTTTCTTTATATATATATTTCATAAACTTTTAAAAGTCAAATAGTAGCACATGTTTCAATAATTTCTTACAGGATATGCTTACACTTACAGAAAAGTAAGATTATCAGATAAAGAAAGATCTTATCGCAACAGATTACAATGCAAACAAACTGAAATATTGGAAATGCAAATTAAAAGATATACAGAACTAGATTTTTAGATAAAAACATTTAAGAAAGTTTATTACTACCACTATTTATTATTATTACTATAATATCAAACATATTATGGCCATTTCTTACTTATGTACATTCAAGTTGTTTCATTCTGTGCATTAGTGTATGATTTGTTGTAGATAAATGTATAGTTTGTTGCTTCCTAATTAAAAGAAATGTTTAGTTTGGAAAGTTGTAGAAAAAGTACACTGGAAGTTCAACATAAGAAATAAATTTTAGTTCAAGCTGTATGAAATCTGTCTCATATAGAAATATCAAATAATGTAAAATGTAAATAATCCCAAAAGTTTGGGTAATCATAGTGTGAATGGTAAAATTAACACCAACTAAAGTATATTATTGAATGAGTTTGTAGAAAAAAAACATATATATAGATACATAGATATTGTGTTTTTATTTATAGATAATTTTAGAACACTTTTTATATCTTAGTAAAAAATAGCTTGACCAATGAAAAAAATTCATTCTTCCAATATTTACTATGCAAAACTCACCTGTGAAATTGATTATGCTTTACCTTTGTTTTTTTTCTTTACACAGTAGTACAGTGTCTAAGAGATACAGAAAACATTTGCTACTTCAGACATCTGGTGTGTTTTGTTTGGGGTGGAATGGAAATTAGTTCTTGGTTCAGAACAATGATGTTATTTCTAATGGTAAAGTTAAAGTTCCGAGATCTTCCAAAATGTAGTGAAAATATACTTGTAAATTACAAGTAAAATTACAATGAATTTGAAAACACTTTTTAACAAAAGGGGAGTTTCTCTGTTATATAAATAAAATTAACTTTTTTTTTTTTTTTTTTAGCAGTATAGTGTGAATTGTACCTAACATTTTTATGATATAGGAATAGTAAAGAAATTCATCAAAACAGGTGTATATTAGGTTATGTGAATCAATTTGTGTATTTTACATTTCTTGGTTATCAATATTTTTTATAGAAGGTTGAGTTAGTAGATATGTGTACTTATTAATCGATGATTAGAGAAAACGCTTTTGGGAAGCAGATGACAATTGTCATTGTTTAGAACTGTGTATTTATTATTTTACACTTGGAACATTGTGCAGCCTTCATATTATGGAATATTTCATTGTAGTTGCAACCTTATGACTTTTAGATGATTTTAACAAGTGCAGCCAAACACGTTATTCTGCCCTGTGCAGTCTTCATATTATGGAATATTTCATTGTAGTTGTAACCTTATGACTTTTAGATGATTTAAACAAGTGCAGCCAACCACGTTATTCTGCCCTGTGAAATTTTTTTCAAAATCAGGTGAAATTTTATAACACTAGGTAGAAATTTAAGAAACATATTATTATTCTTTAATTTTGTGAGATGTCACATGTACTTTTAAAATTCTAAGAAGAAAGCTGTTTTCAGCTTGATTTCATAGAATTTGAACTTGCATATTAAAGTTTTGTTAAGGGAGCAAATTAATTATAATTCTTATCACAAGCTTAAAGCAGTACAGGCAGATGTGAATTTTGTATTAAACTGTTGCGCAAAAAAAATCCAATATTTATACCTTCTTCTGTCTTTTAAAGTTAAGCGAAATTTAAGAGAGAATGTTAAGACTTGTTATATGATTGTATAATTCTTTATTAACAATCCAAGCATTTTATATATATATGTAAAAGATAAATAGTTGAAGTTAACTGGAGTTTGAATGTAAAGGTAACTGCAAGTAGAGGTATTTATCATATCTACACCACTGCTTGAGAGATTTTCCTCCTTCATGACAACACAAGCTCAATTGACAAGACAGATACTGCTGAATTATTATAACTCCGGTTTCTTGATAGAGTAATGTGTACAAAATTGTTCTTTATTGACTTCATTGCTGTATTAGTAATTTATTTCTTTTTTTTTTCAACACCACTAATGAAAGAGGTATTACAGGATATGTAAATATGACACAATGTGATTAAAGTTGTTTAAAAGATTTGTATCGATAACTGATGCAACTTTCTGTCAGATTTTTGTAACATAACCACATTTGGTTTATAAAAAAAATTATTAAAATGCAAACAGATGCTGAGTCCTAACTTAAGAGTAGGTATATTATGTTCATTCAGAAATCTTAGTACATCAGTATTTGCCCACTGATAATTATATAATTCATTGCCAGCTATGTACATTCAGCATTATAGTTCCATTTGTATTCTAAGATGAAGTGTTGTTTTAATGTGTGATGAACAGTTTGCATGTGGAAATGTGTGTGATAATGGTGATATACACGTTTCACTGTTGGTTTCATATTAAAATTATCATTTACAAGTCAACACTGTAAATGTAGTTTGAAATAACTATGCAACTTGTGAAGTGTGCAACATGGAGTGTAAATAGCTTAACAAGTACTGTCTTTTGAAGCCTATTTATATGTAAAAATTGCTCCTTGGTAATGGTCTTTGGTAAGATTTAAGACCAAATAAGTTGTATGTCTGTATATGCAGTAAATAAAAAAAAAATGGTGTTTATGTAGATCCAGTATTTTTAAACCTAAATAGATTGCTTTTGTAATAAAAAAAATTGTGATGTGACCATGTTATATATATATATAGAAATGTTAGATATTTAAGACTAGAGGACTAAAGGTATGGTTTTACAAAAATCATTAAAAGGTGATCATGGTATTGATGAAAATGTTCTCTGTTATAACACTCATAAGAAAATGTTTGCACATATATATATATATATATGTGTGTGTGTGTGTATGTGTATATATTATTTTTTAATTTGCCTGTATCTCGAATTTTTCGCTCTTATTTTCTCTGATGACTGTGTTGCATGTTTAAAATCTAATATCCTACTTTTTTTAAGCAAGAAAAAAAAATGAAATTCCAAATCGCTTCCTTTTGTTAGAAACAAAGATAGTGTGGTTGACTTACAAATGAAGTTTCTTCATGTACTCATTCAGTTTAAGAATTTGGTCATGGCCACTTTAGACTTGAAAGTAAGAGCATTTGTTAAGAACACCAGGTTACCATAAACAGCATATATTTTTCAAAATCATTTGGTGTATTTGGTTAAGTTAATAAGATAAAATGACAGTGCTTAATGTTCAAGGGCTTAACGCATGAAAATTTATTTACTTGATCCCAACATTATATTTTAAAGAAAGTTGATAAGCGTAAAACTGTTGTGAGGGTTAACTTTTCCACTGTCCTTTTAAATATATATATGTATATATATATTTACTTAGTGTGTGAAGAGTGTTTATTATGTATTATAGCGCAAATGATGAGTATAGTGAATGGTCGTAATGTGATGTTCTTCAACCTACATAAATGTATTTTTGTGTGTACTTAGTGACTGTATGCATATTTTCATTGTTGTACAATGAAGTTATCAATAGAATTTCTTACTGAATATGGTTTCGTTTTTGTTTTTTAACTAAGAACATCCAAAATAAATGGGCAGCGCCAGCCTCATCCCGATGAGGAGGCTGTAATGGACTAAGAGTCTAGACGAAAAACAAAATTGAGAGGCCCGATCGTTGGGGCACTCGACTCGCAATCTGCGGGTCGCGGGTTCGAATCCCAGTCACCGAACATGCTCGCCCTTTCAGCCGTGGGGGCGTCATAATGTTACGGTCAATCCCACTATTCGTTGATAAAAGAGAAGCCCAAGAGTTGGCGGTGGGTGGTGATGACTAGCTGCCTTCACTCTAGTCTTACACTGCTAAATTAGGGACGGCTAATGCAGATAGCCCTCGTGTAGCTTTACGCGAAATTAGAAAAAAAACAACAAAGAATTGAGGGCCTGCACTTAACATCTTGTGGACACACACATACTATAGTACTTAAATGAATTCAGTTGGGTGCGGGAACTACAGGGGAGGCTAAGGCACATTTTGGGTAGCCTCAGTAAGTCCACCCCCACCCCTCTACTGCGAACTTTAAATAAACACAAATATTGAATAATAAATCAAAATATGTTGTACACTAGCTACGAAATAATAACATCTTTTTACGTTGGATCTTTTAGTGTACGAAACTTCTTACAACTGAAGGATTCCGTTGTGGAGTGGTAATTAATCGAGAGTTACGGAATGACGTTGTATGGAGATACTTTTCAAAATGCTGATCTTTAGTGAGTAGAATATATATGGCTATTCAAAGCATATAGCCATTAAAAAATATCTATTTTCAAAAGTACACACTGAAGTATCAAAATATCACCTACTAAAGGTATCAACGGACTATAGATCAGTAACTATATAACCCAATACCATAGCGCTTGAAAATTTTAGAATTCAATTAAAATCTTAGTAATCTTTCAGTAATGATGTCTGTTATTATAAAGTCTCCAAATCACTCGTGTTATATATATAATCAACTTTTTGATCAGTAGCAGTAAATTATTTCGCTTCTGCTCTTTTTTTTTTTTTTT